CCGCACCACATCCTAGCGCGGGCCTGGCGGAAGCGAGCCCCACGAGCCGGCAGTTGGGAGGTTCTCCCAGGAAAAGCCACCCACCCCCCAACCGAGCACGCAATGCCATTTGCATACCTATTTTGCATACCTATCTCCAACCAAGGCTCCACAGGACCTTCTCGTCAAGAGTCCAGTCGTGACACAGTATCTACAGTTACATCTCCATGCACCTTATCACAAGGCGTATTGAAAGGTCTTTGGTATTTTAAAAAAAGGCTAAAATATGGATTTACAATGGAAAACTTGAAGAGGTGGCACACAATAGTTTAAGAATTTGCAAGTGGAAAAAAAATATCAAGAAGGGCTTGAAAGATGAGGAGTGACTTGTGCCAGGGAATGACTAGCCAAAATTTATTGCCTAGAAAGAATGAGCATAAGCTTGGCTGAAAAAATCATTGCTGGCTCTCATCTAAGTTACACTCATTACTAACTGACCGCATAAGCATCTATTGCTTCAGTTTTTAATATTTATTCAAACAAAAATAATATGCTATGTATTTAATTACACACACACGTGCATACAGATACTTCAGGTAGCTTTAACCTCTTCATACCTTTTCTGTGCCTGGGTTTACTATACAATCCAAGTTAGTTGAGCTGACTTTGATATTGCTTAAAGCGGTTCCAGTTGGAATTTTGTTTGTGCACAATGAACCTAAAAGAGAAGAGGAGTATAATATGAATGTATATGTATTTACACAGAGTTTAGGCTTTCATAGCCACAGCTGCTTCAGAACTCTGTCTCGTTAATATACACGTATACCACTTCAGGAGATATATTGTAAACAGAGCTGAAGAAATATAAAAACCAGTACAGTCTCACAATACACAAACATCAGTCAGCTACAAAATACAGAAGTGACTAGAGATGACACATTAGAAAGGTCAATTCATGGGTAAGGAGCACAGAGAAGTTTTTATTTCTTCCAATACTGCATTATTTAATTATTCTTGGGAAACTGGCAATACTGAGTATAACAAGAATAATTAAGACACAGTAGCTTCTTTCAATCAGTTGAAAAAAATCACCAATAAACGGAAGTTCATCCCGAAAAATTCTTCTTTTAGTTCCAGTAAAAACGTGAGTCTGAACATACTGATGTGTATAGACAAGTCAGGGGAGAGAACAGATGACTTTCTGGAAACCAGAAGCGCCCCTCCAAGTTACTCTCCCATTGTCTTAAAAATTTCAGATTTAACATTATCATATCTTTCAGTGATTGAATATAATCTCCATACCTTTTTAAAAGGGATACAAGAAAGATTATTTCAGTTGAATAAAGTATTTCAGCCATAAAGAAAATGGATAATACATTTCTGAAAACTTACATTTATCAGCTGACAAAGATTATTGCTTCTCTTGGGCACTGCTAAACTCTAGCAGCAGTAAATCTTTTACATATTGGACTATAACATCTTCAAAAAACAGTGGACTAACTTTAGCTGCCTGTGACAAAAAAACTATGCTTGAATTTGTTTTTTATTTAACAGAGGTTTTGCTTTAATTGGTTATTAATGTTTCATTATTAACAAAGCTAGAATATGCTTATATTTATTAAAAATGCCTGCACACTTAATTAGCTCACAATTTCACACTACTGTACAAATGACAGTTTAAAACTAATTCTGCAAACTGGTAACACAGAGACCCAGTCTCACTGCAAAATTAAGACAGAGAAGCATAACAGCAGCACAACAGTTGGTGCAACAAAATATGTTTCATCAAACCCATCTTATTTTTTCTGAAATACAGAAAACAACGTATGGTGGCTCTGGAATAGTTTGAAGCAATTAGAAATTAAACATTTACATAGATGAGGCACAGAGATGTATAAAGGAGCTATCTACCTGCTTACATAACTGATAAAAGGTGCTAAACACAGGGCTACTTATTCCACAGAAGTAAAAGATGTCCTTGAAAAAGTTATACCTTGCCTATTTTAAAAAAAAAAACAAAAACAAATCAGAGCTGGTTATTCTATTACCAAGTTACAGTTTATTTCCTTTCCTCTTTTCTCCAGACTTCCAAAAGTCTCAAGAATGTTTATGAAGAAAAAAATACAGTTTTGTTTCTAATCAGGCCTGCATGAGAGCCAATCAAAACCAAACTCAACAAGTTTTCAGAAATTTACTACAAAACGCATCTAGTTGTAATGAACATACCTTCTGCAGTTTGGGGTTTTTTTTAATGTTATCAGCTTTGACTTTCCCATGAAGGATAACGAAAAAAAGTAAAAAAGAAAGTGTAAGACATGATATACTGAAATATTTCTAAGAGATGCTAAAAATCACCCAGCTGATGTGTGACAATATCTGGTAAAGGGATGCATTTGAAAGTATTATATATTTTCAATATTGAGATGTTTTTAAATTTTTAGCTTCCTGACGGAGCCACCACAAAGGCCACCCAGTAAACATACTAACAAAGAAGGGTATCTCCTTAGCCCTGGCTGTAGTAGGCAGGACAAAGAAAGCTTGATGGGTGCAGGACAAAGAAACTGTGATAACAAACTGACCTTCCAGGAAAACAGGAGTCGGCAACAACTATACCTGTATTGAGATGTTTTTAAATTTTTAGCTTCCTGACGGAGCCACCACAAAGGCCACCCAGTAAACATACTAACAAAGAAGGGTATCTCCTTAGCCCTGGCTGTAGTAGGCAGGACAAAGAAAGCTTGATGGGTGCAGGACAAAGAAACTGTGATAACAAACTGACCTTCCAGGAAAACAGGAGTCGGCAACAACTATACCTGGAATTCATGCCGTATGCCCACTTACATATCTACACCAAAAAAGTATAAAAAGTAACTCGCTACCTACCCAAAATGAGCCTCTCTGCAAGAGCTTCCCTGCACGCAATCTCCTGGACAGACCAGACCCTCACTGGGGACGCCTGGCTGACTCTGGACTCAGTAATGTGGATCATCTTTGAAGTGAGACTTTTTTTTTCATCGTCGATTAGCCCCACTTCTGGGAGCGGTTTGCTGAGTGTCATACCAATAACACCTCACATAGTATGTTTATAGGCACGTACTTAGGTAAAGGTTTGTAAGAAAGACATGGACCTGTTAAAGCGGGGGCCCATGAAAAGGATCAGAGGGCCAGAATACCTCTCCTATGAAGAAATTTTTTACAATGAGGGTGGTAAGACACTGCAACAGGTTGCCCAGGGAAGCTGTGGATGCCCCATCATTGGAAATGTTCAAGGTCAGGTTGGACGGGGCTTTGAGCAACCTGGTCTAGTGAAAGATGTTCCTGCCCATGGCAGGGGGGTTGGACTAGGTGATCTTTAAAGGTCCCTTCCAACCCAACCCATTCTGTGATTCTATGATTCTATATACTTGCTTCGCTAGTTGGAATTCTGTAATAAATTGTAATATACATATATTTGCTTTACTCTCGCAATGTATATAAACATTTGCTTTCCTAGTGGTAATTTTGTAGTGACTTACAGTGTGTGTGTGTGTATATTTGTTTTTACTAATAATAGTTCTGTAGTAATTTGTAATAAAGAAATTCTCAGAATCTCAGACCTCTGTGTGCTTGTGTATTGTGGAACCCTGAGAACCCCATGGTCACGATCTTTACACACCCGTGGGTTGGATAGCCCTCATAGGTCATGACCGTGACCGCTACACTTCCTTAACTGAATTTTAGAGTTCTGTGGCAAGAGTTGTCACCTTGCTCTGCAAGCTGTCTGTTTTCTGTCAGAGGAAGAGTGGACAACATCTGCTCATCAAGACTCTCCATTTCTTTCCTCATTTGTGCAATAGCAGCCCGAAGGTTGGCATTCTGCTCCTGCAGCTTTTTTATTTCCAAGGTAGGAATATCTTTGCTCAAAGAACTTTTATCATCATACTGAAATATCTGTAAAATAAAAGTACAACACAGTAACAACCTTCATTAATGAGCAACACATATTCTCTCCACAACAGCACACACACAGATCCTAATACTTTCAATCCACGAACAGACTTGGGAGAAAAGAACCACAGGAAGAAAAGAAAGAGATCTGGTTATTCTGGGGATTTGCCAGGAAAAAAAGCGCTACAATGAGAACCTGAGATGGGGGAGGAGGCTGGCCACAGAGGTGGCTCTGTCTTATCACTGTTGTTCTTTGAAGTGTGCTATCTCTCTCTCTTCAATGCATGGGTAACCCATCTCCATAAAGAACTCAGTGGCTCAACAGCAGTCCCCTTTCTGACCTGCCAAATTCTTGAAAGTGTCATTGGAGATCATTTGTTCACAAAAACATAAAGAGGCTGGACATCCTTTACTGAACTGGAAAAGGGGAAGGAGTGTATGGATTACATCTAAACAACCTGGACAATGGACAACATCTAGAAAACCTCTAAGCACTTCAGTTCTAAAATAAGTAGCAATGTCTTCCTTTTTGCGCATTAGTTACAGATAAGCTAACAGTGAACAATGTACAAGGAACATTTGTCAGATAATGATTGAAGCTCTGCCTTCACAAAGGCCTCGAAGCCTGACTTTTGGAATTATATTTGGTGGAAGTGTGAATTGATGAGCAAATGTCATTCTTACAGACTTTCAGAACTGAAGAGGCTGACAAAACCCAGGTTGCCAAAGCTGCTTTAACTACTGTAAAAAATATAATTTATATCAGTAAAATATGAGCAGCTTGCTTATAGAGTAACACATCCCAGAATCATTCTATTTCTTATTTTTTTGAAGGGGAATTGCTCAGTGTTTTCTCCATGGGCTGCCCACAGCCTTAAAGATTATCTTAGAGATTTAGTTTGGAAAGCTAGGCACAGGAAAGACATGGACCTGTTGGAGCAGGTCCAGAGGAGGCCACAAAAATGATCAGGGGGATGGAACACCTCTCTGATGAGGAAAGGCTGAGAGTTGGGGTTGTCCAGCCTGGAGAAGAGAAGGCTCTGGGGAGACCTTATTGCAGCCTGTCAGTACTTAAAGGGGGCTTATAAAAAAGATGGGGGCAAACTTTTTAGCAGGGCCTGTTGCAATAGGACAAGGGGTAATGGGTTTAAATTAAAAGAGGGTAGAGTCAGACTAGATATAAGGAAGAAATTTTTTATGCTGAGGGTGGTGAGACACTGGCACAGGTTGCCCAGAGCGGTGGTGGATGCCCCATCCCTGGAAACATTCCAGATCAGGTTGGACGGGGCTCTGAGCACCCTGATCTAGTTGAAGATGTCCCTGCCCACGGCAGGGGGGGTGAACGAGATGACCTTTAGAGGTCCCTTCCAACCCAAACTATTCTGTGATTCTATGATTAATTCTAGTCCTGTGTGAATGAAGTGATGGCTAATCAGGACAACAATGTGAAACGTTCCAGGTCACAAACTTTAAGAACTGCTTTACCCTGTCACACTAAAGGTTGCTAGCTCCAGAATCCAATTCTTGACAATAGTCAGCAACATATGTTTAGGAAAAATATAGGAAAAAGGACAAATACAGAAATGCTTCCTCTCACGCACCTCCTCAATTTCAACTTTGGGGGAGGGAAGAAAAAGGAAAACCAGATGTGACAAGAAAACCCAAACACACAGACATTGATTGGAAAACACATTCCCTGGTCACTTGAAATTCCAGTACAATCTTCAGGAAAAAATTCTAGTAGGACCAATGGGATACAAGACCAGGATATTTATAGGGTCCTGACGTTATTTACTTCTGCTGTTTCTTCATTCAAAGTGCAACTGCAAACATTTTTAAAGAAGTTACATTCAACTGATGGCAGTGTATTATAACTGTGGTTTCATCCAAACAGAGAATGCAGAATTTAGATTCCACCCCTGTAAAATCCTCTCTAGCTGATGGAAACATTTATCATCAGTCATTTAAGAAAGGCAGATACTATTTGGTACAAGAGTATTAGGAAGCCCTGCAATTGTGGAGTATACACTCCTACAGTCACTAAATGAATCCTAATTCACAGACCTTCCAGACCAGATCTTTTCAAAAAGGAAAGGACCTCCTAACGACTTTGTATCAAATGCTGCTAATTTATGTTTCTGAGCCCAAAAACTGTTTCTTTGTATTCAACCCTAAATTGTTGCAAAGCAGCAGTTCTGCCTCTTGAGAGGGAAAGGCAATCCATGAGGCCCTGCACATAGTACATCTGTCAGCAAAACACTTCAATCTCAACATTTATGCCTTGTACAGCCTCAAACACTACTCCTTTTCTGTCTTCTCCATCAATCCCCACTTCCTTCAGTCCCCTTATTTCCCCAGCCATAAGTCTGTTCTGTGAGTGTGACCTGGAACGCTAATGGCCTTCTAATTAAATTTCTCTGTCGTAAAGACAACGGCTGTCCTACAGCCTCTTTCTGCTGTGGCTCTTTCTTCCCTAACAGTACAGCATATGCAGAAGAGGAGGATAATCTCTATTCTCCTTTTACAATCTCTCCGAGGCTGTCAAGGTGAGGAGAGGGGAAAGGGAGATTGAAAAGGCATGAAGGGAAAGGCACCAGTAGGTACCAATACATCACCCAGGTGTGTTCTGAATTTTGGGGCCCAGAACTTCATCTCTACCTGTAACATACACACGAACCATCGCAGTTTGAACCAGAAATACAACTGTTCCAGATTTTTGCCAGTGGAAAAGGGTCTAGACAGAAGACCACATAATCATCCAAAATTACTGTAAGCAATCTTTTCTTATCTGTGCACTTGTACAGTATTATTAGCATGCTCCAATTAGGCAGACATGACCTAAATCATACTCAAAATCAGTTACAAGCAAGATTTTCCAGGCTGGTGTGTTTCACACTTCTGTTGCTTAACTGAAGGCCAAGAATGACTACTGCAATATTTCTAGCACCCTCATGGGGTCTCAGACCAATCTGAAGAAAGGACCTGTATGCTGGATACTGTACTAGGGTGTATTTAAACTTTAATCTTTCTTGCCTCAGTCATCTGAACCAGAGGCTAGCCAACATACTATTCCTTCTTTAAGAAGGCTCATTGACACAAATGTTATAAATTTTAAGCTTTTAATCACTTTCCCCCCTTTGTTTGTTTACAGTTCATTTTGTACAGAAAAATTGAGAGAAAAGGTTCTAGTTCAGAATAATAGCTTTTTTTTGTTGTTTATTTGTTTTTTAAACAATGGCCCTCCACATAAATCAGAGACAAAAATGGTTTTGCTGAGATGGGTACTGCTTATCCTGCAGGCCAAAAGTGCAAAACAGAGACAGAGTATATTAACAACAGAAAGAAAAGCGTGACAATGAAACAAAGTCTTGCCAACAACAGTAACAGTCAGTTACAGTGGAAGACAACAGTGAATGTGAGCAGTAAAAGAAGAATCCCTCCCCAACCCCGATTCTCTTGGTGTGTGAACGATCAATTTGCAAGTCAGTCCAGTTTGAAATGAAATTGGAAAAACAACTTGCTCCATAGTAAGTTTTTGCTAGCAGTCTACTTTTGTCTAATTTGTTATAAAAATTGTTTTCAGCAAGTATCTTTCTGAATACAACACTTCCTGCATTCAGAAACCACTAGGCTTGCTTAACACTGCTTTTTCTTATCAGCAAGCTCTGATAATACACTCTAACTGCTCACTGTTGAGCATCTGTAGCTGCCCAGTAGGGCGCACTGCAGCACACTCTTTACTTTCATTCAAAAGACGATTTTCTACTCATAATGCGTCATCCTCCAGCATGGCTTCAAACCAGCATTACGTTTGCAATTTTGAATGGCTTTTTTTTTTTTCTAATATATGTATTTTAATAAGTAGCAATGAAAACTAGTTTGTGATACTAAAATAAAAGATGTTATTTTAAACAGCTGGCAAATTAGTATTTTGCAGCATTGACTCAAAATTTTAACTTTACAACTTCAAAAAACTACCCTGAATTGCAACTAACACAGAGCCTCAGGAACATTCCAGAAATCAATTCTTCTCATTCTGATGTGCCATGGTGGTATAGTACATTGTCCTGTTCTGGAGCAAATGCCTACACCCAGCTTGCTCCTTTTGCCAGTGAGGCATTATGATCAGAGCCATAATGAAGCCTGTGACACCTAATCTATGCGTACTCCAGGCTAGGTATGTCTATATTTTCAATTAAACATATGAAACAGATGAACTGCTTACAAGAAGTCCAGTGGAAACAAGCCCCATAAAGTTGTCATCTCAGAATGAATTCATCCAAGTCAAGACATTAAGTGTTGTCTAACCTGTTTCTCCCCTTCAGGTAAAACATCGTGATTAAACGATGCTTGTATTGTCTGTTCTCCCTCAACAGTCAGAGCAGAAAGAAGAGTCTTCACTTCATGCAACCTGTAATCTGTTTTCTGCAGATCAGCTTCAACCTAGGAGGGAGGGAAGGGAGGGAAAGCAGAGGACATCAGCATCTCAAGGACAAAGGGTTTAGAGATTTAAAAAAAAAAAAAAAAAGAAAGAAAAGAAAAAGAAGGAAATCAAAGAAAAAGATATTTTAAATCACAGGACAGGGACTTAAAGCATATCCCCTTTTGGCTCTGTCAAAAACTGCCTTCACAGAAAAATAATTTGGCTTCATTGTCTCATCTTCTGTACGTGAAATGGACAATGTGGATTCATCTCTCAGATGTGTTCCTATGCTACACCTATTGATGCCTATGAATCATTTTGGGAAGACAACAGTAAAATAAACCACCAAAGTAAATGCCTGCATTCTAAACTTTGTAAACAAGTGTTTCCTCTGTACCCCTGAATTTACTAGGCAACTGGTCATTGAGAAGTATCGTTAGCCCATTGTGTAATAAGTCTCTAAAACAATAAAAGATATATTTCATTTTTCAGAAACAAAAGCTTGTACACTTCACAAAATAGGATTTTTTTTCCCATACAACAATACTTCGAGTTCTCCAGGACTAATATTGTTCCCTTGATAGAATTCAAGCTGTACTGTGATCTGAAACTTTTTGGCCTGGGGCTGCTCTAAGAGGGATCTTTCTTCTGCTGCTACAATGTCAAGAGAAAAGCAGTGGCATCTCTCAAGCTGACTTGACTTCATTACAAGGGAGAAAAGGCTGCTATTAGAGATTGTCCATGAAAATTAATCTGGTCTCTGATCAAATATATTTGATGAACTGCTGTGCACAATACAAAATTACTGTTTTACAGATTTTTGAAAAGAAGACTGAAGTCATGCCTCCCCTGAGAAACACCATGATGAAAAAACTCCATAGCTCTCTATGCAACAGATGGTTCCTAAACAGCGTTGATTTGAAATTCTTACCTGCTCTCTTGCTGAAGACAGGCTTTGTGTTAGATCCTCTGATTTCTGATATCGATTACTTTCACCATTCTCACAGAGCTGCTGCCAGTCCAGTTCTGCTTGCATTTTACTCTGTTCCAGAATCCATTCTCGCTCAGCTGCTAGATACAGTTGTTGTTTATACCTATGATACACAGAGCAAAGCTGTTGATTTCAGCAGGATAAATACTGAGGATGTTTTGTGTTTGTTTTTTGTTTTTTTTTGTTTGTTTATTTGTTTGGGGGTTTTTTACATCTCAGCCTTGCTTGCTGTCCTCATCTTTCCTTGTTCTATTTTCCAAATTATCTATTTTATTCTATTCCACTCTAAGTATTTTACTGGACAAAAGCATTTTAATTGCTTAGAGCTCAGCAGTCTCCTAGGGTCCATCTGTATGGGTATTTAGAATCAGCTTTGGAGGTCACCTCAGCTCAAGCAGCATAAACTGCTCTTCAACACCGATACTGCTCTTGGCAATACCATCCACAATATTAAGCATGTTGCCCATTTGCTAATAACAGAAACAAGATACAAAAGAGCTAGGAATTAAAGTTGTTGGATTGTCAGGGCAAAATTCCTAAGCTCAAAGGCTGCTACATATATATACATTGAAAACACACTGCAGAAAGGGAAGAGATAGGAGCTGCACAAAATGAGACAAAATTCATATTCAGAATTTAAGGGCTTTCAAGACAGGTTCAACTGTCATATGGCTGAGCTTTTAAAACACAAAGCTGTCAAGACTTCAGGGCACTCTTTAAGATTGGTTGTAAATGTCACTTTAGACAAAGTCTTAGTCTTTACCATTCTGCATCTTTCTAGAATTTGGCCAACTGTGCCCTCAACTTCTCTTCCTGTCCATGCATTGACTGAATTTGGAATTCTTTAAAGGCAGACTCCTTAGAAATCTCAATCAGATGAGAGTCTTGGCCTGTTTTTAGCACTACAATTTCTTCTTGAAGTCTACATACAAGAACAACCCCCCTCCCATGTTAATATATACTCGCTTAAGACAATTAACAAAACGTGATGCAATCTTGGATATAAAACTGTTCAATGACTTTTTTTTTTTTTAATTAGGAGCTCAGAGGGATTTTTTCATGAGCCAAATGCATATTGTAAACCATGCATCTCCAGTCATAAAAATGCAGGCCACCTAAGCAATTCTTTAGTTTCCAGTGGCCGCCTTGGACTGGCAGCTGCCTCTTTCCAGGCTGGCTATGAAAGAAGTTCTTTTCTTCTGGTGTGTTGTTCCTTCTCTAGGTTCCCAGATACTTTCTCTTCCACGTGACCTCATTTTCTTGTTAAACCTTGAGGAGATGTTTCTTGATTGTGTCAATTATAAAACTAATGTTTATATGCATATATTGAAATTTTACTACAAATTTTGTCGCAATAATATACATAGAACAGCCCAGGTTGGGAAGATCATCTGGTACAACCTTTCATGGGAAAGGGAGCCTAGATGAGATTATCTAGTACCCTGTCCAATCATGTCTTGAAAACCTCTAGTGATGAGGACTCTACCATGTCCCTGGGGCAGTTGTTCCAATGATTGATTGTTCTCACTGTAAAAAAAAAAAAAAAATATTCTTTTTTACATTGAGATGAAACCTCTCCCAGTGCAACTTGTACCCATGGCCCCTTGTCTTCTCCACATGACTCCTTGTAAAGGGAGCACCTCCATCCTCTTTGTAGCTGCCATTAATGTACTAGAAAACTGTAATGAGATCCCCTCGAGCCTTCTCCAGGGAGAAAAGACCCAACTCCTTCAGTCTTTCTTCACAGGGCAGGTTCTCCAGCCCTTTGATCATCTTTGTGGCCCTCTTCAGTCCATCGTGTCTTTTTTCAATTGTGGGGACCAAAACCGGACACAGTACTCCAGGTGTGGTATGTGTTTAACCATGAATTACTGTGAGCTTTTCACATAAGTAAGTTGGGCACAAAACTGGTAAGTATGATGTTCTGAATTTCCTTCATCACAGCCTATGAAACAAGATAAATCAAGTCACTCACTTTCTAATTAGAGCATCTTTCTCTCTTAAACAAGCACTGTGACTCCATTCTCTTCTGCATAGCTCAATTTCCAGACTTTTATGTCTCATCTGCAGTTCTCTAATCTGCTGCTTCAACTTTTTAAATTGTTTGACTTGGGCTTCTTTCACTGAAGCTAGCATTGCATCCTTCTCCTTGGCAGCATGAGCTAGTTCTTCATGCCTAGAAGATGTAGAGAGACAGAATGAAGTGAGGTTTCAAGCAACACAAGCACGTTATTTTTTAGGACTGTTGATTTACTTTCTTATCAATTTGGTTCAAGCAAATTCAAAGAATCATTGTCGGAAGCAGTAGAAACAGAAATCAGTATCCGCTTGTCAGTAGAACAAGTTGTGGGGAGGTCTTTTGCGGTTGTTTTTTCAAACTAAGAATGCCCCTATTTAGCTGGACTTAGGACCAGGGCTGAATCCTTCTTATACCACTGCAGAGAGTTTAACTCCAATTTATCACAGAACTTTAAGTTTGTGATTAGCACAAAGAACAACAGTATTTCACCTAATTATGGGATCAGGGTGATCCTAAATTTAAGTTTTGGGGGTTTTTTTGGTTTTTTGGTTTTTTTGTTTGTTTTTTTGTTTTTTTTTTAAGATGACTCATAGAGAAGCTATTTTAACAGGTGAACTACTCCATTCAACATACTCTTACCATACTGAAAATATTCTTCACAGTAATTGAACAATTGAAAGACAGCTATGATCAGGTGGCCCAAATAAGAGACTGTAGGGATCCACGGAGCAAAAACGCTTCCTTGAATGTTCAGTTTTCATTCACAGATTAATTTCCTGAGCGTGCACTTACACAAAAATAGAGACCAGGTTTAAAGTAAGAAGTGAGTTGTTAGAAGAAAAGACCACCAAATAGTGCCTATAGAAAACTCAAATCTAACAGTAAATAAAAAAGGAGACATGCAAGCAACAGTTTCATAATGTTCTTACACTCTGAAATTGACCTGCATATAAATCTTCAAAATATATCCAAAGTTTTGGATATAAAGGATTAAAGCAAAACAGAAGGAACAGCAATTAAACTATGAGTAAGTCTTATTTCTTAAATTTGAACTAGTGAGGAATAAAACATAAAAGGTAAAAACCCCAGTAATACTCTGGTTTGCATGAGTTATTTTCTGTCACTATATTCACAATCTGTCTGTAGCTGCTTGAGAAAGTATAAAGTTGTGACTGAACACACTGGACTTACTGGATTCAAATCAAGCATGTGAAATATGAGACACCAAAACTAGCTGTACACTCTAGAATTGGGATGAACTAAGTTTTTTCATTACATATACTGCTTGGAAGAGGTACTCCTTTTTGCAGTAAAGGCAGAAGGTACCATTGAACCATTAAAACTTCTAAGGTAAAATTTTATTTTTAAAGTGAGACAGATTACATCCAGAAAGAATGTAGCAGAATTAACCTGAATCCATGCGACTTAGGAAATATTTCATACAAAGGGTTACCTCTTTCTGTTGTAACAATATATATTACCAGATCAATTAATCCATGTACACCATCCCAAGCTATTGCTAAAATAAAGAGTATGTGAAGAAGAGAAGTTGTGGAGTTGCAGAGTCTGTGAAAAGCAGTTTATTTTGATCATAATCAAAATTGTACAATACCAAGCATCTTTCACAGCAACAAAATCATTGAACTGGTTTTCCTTCTCCAGTCTCAAATCAAACATTTCTTCTGTTTGCAGTGATTCTGGTGTTTGCATTTCAGTCTCTTTGAGGGCCTCCAGTTCTCTGGTCAGCAGCTTCACCTTAGAAAGGAGAAGAATAAGACTTAAGAATTCTAATGAGAACCTGATATAACCTAATTTTTTAAGAGGTCCAGAGACCTTATACAGTTGAAGTGTTAGCATCAGCTCCAGAAACAAACAAAATAGTACAGAAAGTTGTGAAGTGTTTTTTTTTTGGGGGGGTGGTTCTTCTGTTTGTTAGTGGGTTTTTTTTTTTAATTTGTAAGTAACATTTTGCATGGTATAAGCATTAGATCAACAAAGCACTTTAAAACACCTTCCCCATAAGCTATAACCTCTGCTGTTATTTAGATTTCTACTCCCGTATTACTGCTAAATATCCATTTTGTATCCTCTTCCTACACCTATTACCTACATTAACATTTATCCTGCATACTACCCCTTCCTATCTCTGCCTAAAATTCCTTTTACACAGTTTTTTATTCATTGACTTCTTGGCTTCCCCTGCAGCTGACCTCACTAATACATGGGGGAAATGACTGCAGATGAGCTCTCCTTCCCTTGCTTAACACTTCCACCACCAATTCAGGTGCAAATAATATATATATATATATAAAGAATACATAACTAGACATAGACACTATGTTTCATAAAGAAAAAGATGTAAGAGCATCTAGCACACGAGGCCTACTGAGAGCTATTACATTCAGATGCATCTACAAGCAGTATTAGAAACTGAAACAGTATTAGAGCTATCCAATCAAGCACTCAAGTCTGAAAATTGCAAAGATTAAAAGTTTCTTCTGAAGTACTATCAGAGTTATACTGCATATCACAGAGTAAGCAACATGTGCAAATTTACATTTAATAAGTATATATGCAGTTGCAGTTCCTTTGTTCTTACTGAGTCAACAGCAGTTGGTCATGCAATCTTTAGAGTCAAGACCACAGTAAGACAAAGTGTTTTCAGGTCCATTACTACAGCAGTGTCCTTTAAAGAAGGCCCAAGACAAGGCAAGAAAACAAAACCAGAAACTAAACTCCAATTGTGTCAATATTCAAGATGCAGGAATCCATGGATACCACTAATGGCCAGGCAACCTTTTGCTACCCTAATAAGCCTTTGGCAAGGTAAAGTTTGTAGGCAGAAGTAATTTATTGTATTAGACAAAAATCAACACAGCTGGAAAAAGCTGGCAATCTTTCAGGCATACAAGCCCTCTTTCTGAAAGCTTGTCTGCTTTTCCCAACGCTATCAGCTGGTTTAATGTGAGGGTTTTTTCCCCCCTCTACCTATACGCCTTGGTTTGTTGAATTATTAAGCTATCAGTTAAACCACCACTGAAGCAAGTGAACACAGGCACCAGAGAACCATCCAAGTAATGTTGTATGATGATTAGCGAAGACTGCACATGCAGAGAACACAGATTTTGGAAGAGTGAATTCCTCATTACTAGCATTAGAAGGATGAGACAGGCCTTTCAGAGACCTATATATAGTTCTTGGTTGTGTAGGAAAAAACCCAGTCACTATGAGTGAAATTAAGATGCATACCACAAATATCCCTGCTTACTGCTATCATGGAAACAGTTAGTTCAATACATAGGTGGAGGAAAACCAGCAACAACAAGAGAGTCATCTTTTCATGAGTTTCACACAGGAATGAATTGAGATTATAATAAACGCATTCATTCTGTGAGTAAAGGGTAACAGCTTAAAAATAAGTTACCTTAACTTCATGGGACAGAACTAAGTTACCCATTTCAATTGTCTGCTTTTGAAACTCACATTCTCCCTTTTTCATTTCTGCATCAAATTGGCTAGCAGTTCCTACAAGGGGAACAACAGATAGGTAACACCAGTACAATGGTACTGATGGAAACACTGTTGTCACAGGCTTTTTTAAACACTGTACAAGGGGTTTAATCATCGCATAATCTTTCTGATTCTCATTAGAGCAGAGAATGTGCTGAATGAAACCTCTCATCTGGCGTATAGTAGGTCCCCTAACACGACCTGTACATCAAAGGGGAATTTAAAGAAACACATCAGCCAAATGGCATCCTTTGCAAAAGAAGATCAGATTCCATAACCATAGGGGAAAAGACGATCCTTTGCAAAAGATCAGATTCCATAACCATAGGGGAAAAAAAAAAAGATAAAAAAAAAAAGGGGAAAAAAAAACCCAAGGGGGGGGGGGGAAGAAAAAAAAAAAAAAATATTTTAAGAAAAAAACTCCAACACCTTACCGACATTAAAGTTCAATTCCTCTACAGACATCTGAGCATTTGTAATACGTCGAAGACTATCCGTTACAGAAATATCTGAACTTTCTTTTAACTTTTAGAGCAGCAGAAAAGTGCTATATCTCCCCAGTGCTAAAAGCTGTGGCTTTTTTGTTTTGTTTTGTTTTGTTGTTGTTGTGTGGTGGGTTTTTTTTTCCTCTTTTTTTTTTTTTTAAACTGGGCACTTTACTTAGCAAATGGGACTGAACACTGTTGAGCTATACAAAAAGAAACTGAATTAAGTTATTTCAGCCTTTTCTGACACAACAAATAAAATTTTAAATATAAAATAACAAGTATTAATAGAAGTTAAATTTATATTATAAGTACACGAATAAAGGATATTGATTATTAAGCATATAGTACAGAATGTACTACAAGCAGTTAGGACATCCATCTTGTATGTACTACAAGCAGTTAGGACATCCATCTTCTTATACACACACACATATATGGAATTAATGGGGATAAACATAGAGGATGAGGTCACAAGGGATTTTGGCTAATTGATGCAATATCATGTGTTTGGTTAAGGGGAACGACTGCAAAGAGACCCAATGGCAAGCACGTAAGATGTGCTGCTTTAGTTTAAATCATGAACAATGGAGATACCACACTGGAGGAGAAAAAAAAAGTTAAGAGAAATAGTGTGTATTAGATGATGTGCCCTTATGCTTGCGAACAGCAGTTAATCCGCTTTATCATTACAGTTTAACCACAGAACACACAAAGATAACTTCTAAATCAAGCCAGTTATCAAGTATTGTTCAAGTGAGAAGTGCTCATACTCCTCTGGGTAGGTTCATAAACTGTCTGTGGGAAGCCCGTGGGTAAAAGACTCCTGGATGAAGATGGGTTATTTTAGCAGGACTACTATACTGAGGGCACAGCAAGATTGATTGGCAGGTGTTGGGTGCAAGACGTAATTGCCTAACAATCTCTTTCACCACCTCCATTTATATTATATATTGGTTTGCTTGACAGGCCAAAAATTAACCATTCTATTTCTAATGATTAAACACATTCATATGTAAATAATTAAAAGTCATTTTAGTATCAAATACATTTTTATACAAAAACAAAGAAGGAAGGTTTTGTTGTTCTTTAAAGTTTGTAATATATATAGATGTGGTATAATGCCTCCCTAAGGTATCACAGTTGAAGGTCAAATTTCACTGATAGTAAGATTATCCTTTTATGATTCTATGATAGCAATATAAGAGGCAGAAGGGGGGGGAAAAAAGCCTTGTAACTAGGAGTATTATAAACAACGTACATTTACCCATCTTGCCTGAGGCTGCCTCTGCTTTCTAGATGCTGACCTTTCCTGCAGTTTCAAGGTTAACACATTTAGCAGCGTGCTGTCTACATAAAATAATCTTACACAATCTCAGATTACTAAATACATTCTTAACAGTTCCTTAAAAGGGGCAGTTGCCAGACAAGCAAAGCAACAGCTACTACACAAGTAGTGAATAATTTTCTAAACTGTCATTAAAAATCTCATCAATTTAAGCAAAAAAAGGGCAAAAAATAAAAGCTTATACAACTACAGCAATGTTAAACCAGAACATTCTAATAAAAACAAAACAAAACAAAACTGAAAAAAGGATGTCTAGATGGCACTACAGCAATACAACATTGTTTCTCCATATTCTTATACCTGTTTCTGACAAGCAAGCTCTCCTTCCAGTTCTTGGATTTCTCTCTCCATCTGATGTTTCAGGCTCACGTACTCTTCATGCTGATGATCTATGTGACCGTTCCTAGAGCTATGAACAAAAATAAAACAAATTTACATTAAAGAGTATCTCTGGTGACCTAATGAGACATACATATGTAAATTTTTTTGAACGATAACACGTAACTATAAATACAAGATGCTATAATTTCCTAGAGAAAGTCACCACAAAATTTTTTCTCACAAGTCAGTTGAAACCAATTATAACAGTATATGCCATTTCTCAAAACTATACTTCAAAAGTTAGTTGCATATGAAGTATCGAGGATCTGCTGAAAAGTAGTGCAAGACTTCCACTTAAGTATAACAGCGTTCCTCCTCCACCCAAAAAATTCTGTTACCTAAGAAGAAATTGCAAAACAAGGGCTGCCCAGCAGAAATCTGAGCTTGTAGATACATTTAAAAATAGAAGCAGCTCCGTATCTTTTCCTCTCCTCTCCCCGGTATTCTTACTTGCTATCAACAGAAAAAGTTTCTCTGAGATACAGTGGAAGAATACCAGTAAGGCGAGCATTTCAAACAAATTCGAAGAGCTGATACTGCTACCATGACCAGTAAGTTATCTAATGATACACTGAACCTTTTCAAGCTTTGGATTTCATCCCTGCAAGACTCAACAGGCTTGACGCAGCCTGTTACATGGCCAAACAGACCTGGATTGATATCGTGCAGTTCTGCAACCTTCTGATGAGATTCAACTCTGCATTACAGTTATTTTATGTAGCTGAATGACCGCTGCATTTGGTTAGATAAGGTTGATTATACAATAACCCCATAGACAGAACTGCAAACTAGAACTGAATAGTCACAAACAGCTAAATGCATATTCACTTTCATATTCTGCTAGATTTTGCTTTTAAATTTACAATTCACCTGAATTAATCTGGATCCTATAGACTTTATTTATATGCATAAGTGCTGGCTAACAGAAGTGTCATCTCAGTGTAGTCTAGACAGGCACTTTTACACCTCCCTTGTTCATCCCACAACTCTCCAGGGCAAGGCAGATCAGAAGAATAATTGCTGTACTGCTCAGTGATCAGTATCCAGCTCAGCCTAACAAAAAGGCAGTGATGGGTGTAAGACTCAAACTCCTCCTTCCATTCCCAAAGGATATGCTCCATATAAAATTCCTGAACTGGCTTTAAATGAATTTGCATATGCTCCAGAACCACAGTAACATCAATCAGTTAGTGACCTATGAGGAATTCCAGATCCATGTCCAGATCACTTCTAATAACTAAAAAAAAATATTTAAAACTTATCCAGCCATCTCTACATTATAAATGCAGTTTGACCCAGAACACTTTACAGCAGTTACCATTTTAAACAGAGAATAATCCCAAAGATACTATTATATCTGAAGACAGTAGTTATATTAAACAAGAACGATGTGCAGACAGATCTCAAGAAATAAGTGTTTATTCCCCCCCTGCAAGGTTTAGAAGTCTATACAGAATAATAAAAATTAGTGAGAATGGCCAAACTAAACAAGTGCATTGCTTTAGCTATCTTCACATTTTAATTGGTTGTATTAGTCATTAATCTTGGTCCTGTGACTGGATATGCCCCAACAGACTTCTTTCCTTCACAGAGGCCTATCAGAGAAGGTGGGACAAAATGTATTTAAGAGTGCACAAACCCAACTCCTATCGTAAGATTAGCTTGCAATGGCTTAAAATAGTTGAAAGGCTGAACCGTTTGTGTTGAATCCACAGCACAATATAGCAACTAATGTCTAGTAACCTTAGATAATATTACTGACAATGGTTGATACCATTATCATTTGTCTCCTCACGTACACAGAAGACAAGTGCATCTTGATATAACACACAGGAGACATATTAATACTTTCAGATTCACCTCATTTCCCAGAGGTGTTTCAGCGCCCAAGGAAAAAGCATTTCCTTCTGACAAATCCTTTTCTGCTCCCCACACTATGTTTCCCTTATAATCATACCATCTCCACCCAGTCATATCGTCTCCCCAGCATACACCCTTGTAAATTATGTAGGGAGACACTGTATGTTTAAGAGCATCCTCACTTTCACTTAATGCTATCCTTTCTCTAACATGTTGCCAGAAATCAGACAAGTCACTGTGGAAACCAAGATATAGGAGGTGTACAGATAGCCCAAGTCACTTCTGTTAGCCCTCACTCTGTTCATGTTCTAGGTGTTCCTCTGTCAGAATAGATAACCGTATCTCCATGCTCAAAGTGCTCTCTACTGTATGAATGATGTTACTGCTTTATCCCAATCCAAATATGTCTTAGAGAAGCTAAATTTCTCTTTTCTTGCATACTATTCTAAGGAAGTCACATCTCGCCTGCGAAACTGTTCCAGCTCTAATTTATGTTCTTCAATGTGTTGTCAACAGCAATAATGAAGTTTGCATCTTTTTCTTCTTTCCTTGACAAGCATTTGCTCCACTTCACCCAGTTGTACTCTAAGATCACTACTCTCTGCCTGGTTAACATTTTCAGATATTTTCAGATGAGTGACTGTGACATCATAGTGTTCTAACTCTTTATCTCTCTCCTAAAATTCTTAGGTTATAGACAAAATCTGCTTTCAATTTGTTAAATTTTTCATGCCTGTCTTGGAGTTGCTTTTTGACATCTTGCAGCATTTTCTTTTGACACGGGAACTGGCAGGCACGTAGCTCTTTCCCTTCTTTTTCTTTCCACTGAAGGAGACCATTTAGTTCTTTCTCCACTTGTAACACTACTATAAATCCGAAACAGGAGCTGACAGAAGGCAGTTAAGACTGATAGCTAATACAACTCAAGTATCTTGTCACTCCCGATCTACTGCATAGCTGATAATTTAAAAGTCACCGGTAATTAATTTAAATTGTAAAGTTTCCTGGACCATCAGGCATTAGCTGCTTCTAGAAGCAGAATTTACTTTTATTTATAGTCCTGCATTGCCCAGGGACTTTCCAAATTAGTTATGAAATGCCACTAAATTCTGGGTTGGGAAAACATAATTTTCTCCTTTCTTTATTCAGATTGAAAATAGAGGCATAAAAAGATTTAGTCATTGTAAACTGCACGCATATTTCTCTTTTCTTGAAGACATTTGTAACAAGTCAAGTCACAGTCCAGCCTTCTCTTATATCAACAATATTAACTGCTGTGTCCCATTTGTCTTCTCCTCCCACAATGGAACTACAAAGCTACTGTTCTGTCCACAGTCAAATCCACCTTGAAGTTACTTTTCAGAAAGGCCAACAGGTATGAGGAAATAGCTGTATTTCAGTAACGTATTAAATATATTTTTAAAACTAAAAAAAAACCCAAACCAAACCAACATAGAGGTGGTGCTTTTACTGGTAAAACCCTTTACCTGCTTTACTTCCTACTGTTTATTCTCCATATTTGCCTCATATCTAATTATAAACTCTGTAGAAGAAAAAACATTATTTCTAAGGACAATGGTTGCTTTAAAAAAAAAAAAAAGAAAAAAGAAAAAAAAAAGGAAAAAAAAGATGGTAATTTCTGCTCAGATTTCTCCAGAGATTTTCCCAAATCTCTGGAGTAAATACAGCTTCTCTCACTGTACAGTATTATTCTGTGTCAGTGGTTACAGATAATCCCATCTGCATAAGCACAGGGATGCAGAGAACAAATCAGACAAGCATGCTTTTCAAATAGTGGCTCTTTAATCTCTTTAAATGAAAGAGAGATTTCCAGATCAGCAAACGTGATGCAATATCTCTATGCTAAAGGATGCCACTATTTAAACAACATTTTTCTTCACAAACCAACTAGACAACTCTAATTCTCCAGAATCAAAAAATGAGTCTCTGATCGTTGGCCATGACAAGTATAAAAAAAAATTCAAGCTTGCTCTTCCCAGGTACACTGAGTAACAAACACTGCTAGAGGACACAGTGATCTGGTGGTCTTTCAATTCTGCTGGCCTAGATTTCACATTTATTCCTAAGGCAATTAAAATAAAATTATGTTTTCTCTTCGTATTCTGCTTCTTGTTAGCAATCTTCAAATCGTGCTACCATGTAGAAAATAGCATAAGCAATATCTTCTTCATTTGGGTAAGCAGCAATAATTATTTTTTGTAAAAGTCAGTGTCGTGGATATTCATGAGCAGTACTGCCTCCCTGCCTACGACATGCAATGCTAAGAAAGATTTGTTCTTTCTGTATCTTCCTTTCAGCTACTGTTGCTCCAAATGCATCTGATGGCTACCACAGTTAAAAATATTAACTAAATCTGACTTCCTTCTCCCCTCCACCCCAGTTATAAATACATTAAAGATAAACAATGCCTATGAGATGCTTTCTAGACTCAAGGCACTGAAAGAAACTATGCTCAGTCTATACCCATTAAGGTATCAAAATACTAATGTAAGTGCCTTTTAAAAACCTGCTTCATTAGCTAAAATTAGCAATACATTATTAGACAAGACCTTTGTGTAAGGAATCAAAAACAAGACCACAGCTCCAACCTATTCCTTCCTTGAAATCATCAAACCGAACTCACAATTTTTCTTGGAAGAGGTGGTTAAGAAAAGTGATACTTCTTTTACAATTTCTCTCTACAATTACCTTAGAATTAAAAGGCACCACACAGTTTCCTATGAAAACAACCTTCCTCCCTATCTCCATGTATCTTACCTAAATTAATGGTACTGGTAAATTGAAAGTGGTATCCTGAGGTGAGTTTGGGTTACATATAACAATAGGAATCATTCATTTCATATGAAAATATGAATGAATGAGCCTTCCTGTAATTTTAAAATATTGCTTTCCATCACAGAGAGCTGTATTTCTTAGAAATGCAATTTAATAGGGGAGAAGGGAGCATTTTGCCTTTGATAGCAGCAGTATTTATAATTGCAAGTTAGTTTCAATAAGGACCATAATGGAAATAACAGTGTAATTTTAGATATAAATTGCACCAATTGCCTGGATATCTTACAGTCAAAAGAGGAATAGTAAACCTATATATGATGACATTAAAAGATGACTTAGGAAACAGCATACATCTAAGTAAGAGACAACATC